GTTAGCGTAATGGCTATGTCGCTGGACTCCCATGTAGTTGACTGTGGTTCGCATCCCGGACCCTGGCGGCTTAAACTCACACCGGGTGCATGTGCGTGAATGCCCAAGATCCTGAGAGGAGAATGGAGGAGAAGGGATTGCGGTGTGGCCACCCCCTCCCCCGGGGGGGTGATTTCTCGCTTTCTGTCTCTCTTTCTGGCGAGCACATGCGCCCCATAGCAAAAACCTCTCCAAAAAAAATAATAATTAAAATATGTAAGTAACAAATTTAAATCAAAATTTGGGAGTGGGTGGTAGGGATGCCGATCAGACATGGTGGCCCTGTGGAAATGCAACATTCTACGATGCACAGGCCATATGGAAGGGCCTAGATCTGGGTGTCCTGAGGTCTCCATGCATGTGCTGGATGCAAGCACACATGTGCCCATGATCCTGGCTGGCTGTGGCTGAGGAAGGACTGTGGCATAAAGACCCCATTGGGGTGTTTGTTTCTCTCTTTCTCTTGAGGAAGAAGTAAATAAATAAATGGACTTTAAAAATATTTTCTGGAGCATTCTGTCTCTACCACACTTTCACATTTTTTCCCCAGATGTGGTCCATTCTACTTCTTGTTTGTCTCACCTAAAAATTAGCCTCAAAATGCAACCAATTACTGCGGACCATGAAAAGCAGGGAGTGCTGAATGCCCTCTAAGAACTGGCCCTCTTTCTTAAATAATCCATCAACAAGAAAGTATGAGGGAAGAGACTAGGCAGGAGGTGGTCAGACCATACTTCCAGATCCCCACAACCTGGAGGCCCCAGCCTCGCATTTTCCCAAACTGCTCCCCTGGATAAAGGCCTCCTGGGCTCTGCCTCTGACCTGGTTCAACTCACCTGTAAGATCCAGTGGCTACTTTGTCCCCATCCACCATCAAAAACCTTGATGACAGGGTTCCCTTGATCTTTCCCGTGGGCATGTAGAAGCCAACGCCTGTCACAGAGCGCACACGAATGTTCTGTTGAGAGGAGAAGTGCCGTCACCCGGTTGGAGCAGGCCAATGAGGTTCTGCACCTCTTGTCCATGGGTCCTTCCTGCTGGATCCTGACTTCACTAGACTCTCTGCTTCCTACAGCCTTACATGTGGGCAGTAGGAAGTCACCGAATCTTGCTCTTGCCTACCTGCAGAGCTCCCCAGGAGAGAACCACAATCCTAATTTTGAACCTGACAGTGAAGTCAGTGATTCCATAGGCTGAGTACGCCATGACTGGGCCAGAGCTGCCTTCTTCAGTCTCAGCAGCTTTGGGACAAGATGTAAGCTGGTCATGTTACTTAGGAGTTATCAGTTCACAAGGCTTTAGGAAGAAGAAAAGGGGTGGAGCTCTTAAACCTCATCTGAGGCCCTGAATTGGGACGAGGCAGAAGGGGGAGCCAGAGGAAGAGGCAGAGGGAGTCTCTGTCTCACCTCATGCCCCACCACTCCCAGCCCCAGTGGTATAACTTACTCGAATACGGAAGTCAAGGAGTTCCAGGCCCTGACACATCTCCAAGAAGTGCTTCACTCCTGCTTCATCCAAGATGATGTACACTGGGACCCGGCGCTTAGAGGCAGCATCCACAATGTCTTGGAAGATATCGCAATCAGTGAAGAGGTCCATAACCACAGCAATGACCTGGCCAGAGAAGGGCATTGTTGAGGCAGGTCCTGACACTTACAGACACACCCTGCCCATGGAGAATCAGCTTGTCTTGGGGTAACTGGTGGCCAAGAGCCAAACACCCCTGGCACCTCTCCCAGGTTTTCCTCTTCCCCACCCACTTTTGCACACAGCTGAGCCTAGGAAATGGGCCTGAGATACAGGGTTTCATCCTGGGCAAATCCTACCACCACACCCTGGGGATTTTCCAGAAACTACTTTGGGGGAAGTTCTAGGAGGCTGAGGAAAGTTGCTCCTGCTGCCCTGGGGAAACAAGCAAGTGCAGAGATGCAAGGGACGGGCTTGTCTCTATAAGCCGCAGATCTGCACAGACACTGCTTTCTCAGCAGGCCTGGGTGCTTTGATCTCCCTGCAGCTGTGCAAAGCCCTGCGCTTCCCTAAGCACAGGTCTGGGCAGAGCTCCAGATGGCTCAGATTCTCCTGGCCTCCAGGTGAATCTCCCACCCATCCTACTCCACCTTCAAATCAAAGTCCCTGCTTAGGACCCTCCTCTTATAACATGGAAGGTAAGGCCTTTTTAACCTCGGCTTCCTCCACTTTCCAACACAAACTACCCACTGCTCCAGTCACAGGTTTTCTTGTTGGCCCCAAACACTATCCATGTGATGCAGAGAAAAGAGCCTCAGTTTTGGCAAATCTGAATGATTACGAGGCCTCACAGGTGGAGTGACGATGTAAAGACAGATAAGCCAGAAATAAATGCCTTTCATACACCCTGTGGGTTGATCACCCTTTGGCGTCAGAGAGATCCGTCTTTAACCTTAGGTCCACAATTCTCCAGTTAAATGACCTTAAGCGAGTAACTTAATCTCAGTGAGCCTCTGCTTCGTAATCTATAAAACAGGGCTACTCTGTACTTTATGCATTTGCAGTGGGATTAGGGACAACATTTGCAGGCATCAGGTCCCATGCCTTGTATGTATGTACTGGGTTGTCAGCAAAGTCATGACGCATTTTTGCACAGAAAAACAGAAAAATATGCCTTGACTTTTCTGATGACCTAATAGTAAGTCCTCAGTGAATGGTAGCTACTTATAGTCAAGGGGTTGCTGTCGTAACTGAAAGCACCAACTCCAGAGTCAAGCAGAGCAGGCCCGGTATTCTGGCTCCATAGCTGGCTTGACAGTGCACCAGCTTCCCTGGCAGCAAACAACAACACCTATCTCTAAGGATGTTCATGAAGACTTAGTAAGACAAACCATGAAAGAACTTAGGGTGGTACTGGCCCAGGGTAAGGTCAATAAGCTTCCATGACTGTCACTATCACTACTATCACTTTCACACACACTCTACCACTGCCGTCATCTCTCCTGCCCCCCACCCTTCATGTGTACCATTTAAGGCTTGTCATACCTCTTACACTGGGAATCAGTCATGCAAGTCTGAGTGATTACTGGGCTGCAAAGGCAGAGTGATGATAGAAAGGCAGATAAGCCCCAATGGCTATCTTTAAGGGGTTAATCCAAGTGGAATGATAAGACATTTACACAAAATAACTAAGGCATTAAGGAAAGGAGATAGATGCTCTCAGAGTTACACAAATGACATGTGATGAGGGGGAGGGGGAAGAGGGAAGGAGAGGGACTGAGCTAGAAAGATAGATGTTACTTCTAGCCGGGAGAGAACAAGAAATACTTCACTAAGGGGACTGAGACTTGAAGAATGGGAAGGCTTTGGGTGCCCCAAGAAATGGGCAGGGAGGAAAATCAAGCAGGGAAGCTAGCTGGGAAACACAAGTATGCTCTGCACATGGGCACTGGGCCAAGGTGGTGAGTCAGAGCTCTGCCTTCCTGGGACAGGGACACATTTTTCCATTCCACATACAGGTACCAAGTGGCTTAGCCAGGGTCTGAGACTGGCATTTCAGGCAAAGAGCACAGCACAAGCAAAGGTGCTGGGACAAGTAATTTTATATGCTCACTTGGCCATGGTGCCTACATATTTGGTCAAATGTTTTTCTGGATATTTCTGTGAAGGTGTTTTTTGGATGAGATTAACATTTAAATCAACAGAGTTTGAGTTAAACAGACTACCTTCCACAATGTAGATGGATGGGTCTCATCCAATCACTGAAGGTCTTAGCTAAACAAATGCTGACTGACCTCCCCTGACAGGAAGGAATTCCAACAGACTGCCATTGGACTCAGACTGCAACTCTGTCCTTGGTCTCCAGCCTGCTAGCCTACCTTACAGACGTTGGATTTGACAATCCCATGAGCCAGTTCCTTAAAATCAATCAATCTCTCCCCTGTCCTCCCACAGGGGAGAACCCTTGCTATTACAGGCACAGAGGATAGGAATCAACTCGTACTAAATACTTTCAGCGCACCCCATGCTGTTTCATGTGCTTTAGGTACATTTTTTAATCTGACCCTCATAACTTCTCTAAGAGAAAGGAAAACCGTTATTCCCATTTAAAACTGAGAGAGTAAACACAAAAGGGCAAAGTAATGTGTCCAAGATTATACAGCCAGCATGTGGCAGACAAAGCATATACATACACACACACACACACACACACACACACACACACACTATCCGATTCCAGAGTCTTCATACAGAAGGAATTGTTGTTATAAGGTATTTTAGAAACACTGAATCAAAAACTGGTTCTTTAAAGAGACTAAACAAGATAAACACACATTTGACAAGACTGACATAAAGAGGGGAGATGCAAATAATGCTGAATGGAAAGGGAGAAATAACTATAGACACAACAGAGATTTAAGAATAGGCTCAGCTATGGTGGGGCAGATAGTGCCAATGCTTGGGAGGCTGGAAACCTCCATGGACTCAGTTCTGGGTCAATTTAAACATACCAGGAATGGTTGTGTGCGCCAGTTATACGAGCTAACTGGGAGGCTAGGGCAGGAGAATCGTGACAGAGAGATTATGTCAAAATATATAGCTCTGGGCCAGCAACTAGTGTAATGGTTACACTGCTGGATTCCTACTTAGCTGACCTGGGTTCAAGTCCCAGACATAGCGGCTTGAAACTCACACCAGGCAGGACCAGCAGATGGTATAATGGTTACATTGCTGGACTCCCATGGAGTCAACCATGGTTCAAGCCCCAGACCTGGTGGCTTAAAACTCATGCCGAGCCCATGTGAATGTATGCCTAAAATCCCAAGAGGAGAATAGGGGAAAAGGGATTTTGGTGTGGTCATCCTCCTTTGTGGGTGGGTTGTGATTTCTTGCTTTCTTTCTCTTGCTGTCTCTACTGGCTGAGGCTTAAGGTGGATCACAGTGATAAAACCCTGTTGAGAGTGCCTCTTTGTTTGTCTGTCTCTCTCATGGAAGAAATTTTTTAAATAAGCTTTAAGGCAAAACAAACAAAAAAAGACAAGATACTTGTTAAAGTCATAGTCCAGGGAAACCAGCAGATAATGTACTGGTTACATTGCTGGACTCCCATGAAGTCAACTGGTTCAAGTCCTAGACCTGGTGACTTAAAACTCACACCAGGTAGGGAACCAGCAGTTGGCGTAATGGCTATGTCGCTAGACTCCCATATAGTCAGTTCAAGTCCCAGACCTGGTGGCTTAAACTCATGCCGGGTGCATGGGCATGCGCGCCTGCCCAAGATGCCAAGAGGAGAATAGAGAAGAGATTGTAGCATGGCCATTCCCCACTCCCCAAGCCCGGGAGATGATTTCTCACTTTCTCTCTCACTGTCTCTGTCTAATTCTCTTTGGCTAGCACACACACGCTAAGGCAAAAAACTCTTAAAAAAATACTCAGCTCTGTTTCTTTCCCTTTCCCTTTCTTCCTCTTTCCATCTCTATCATAAAGGGGAACCCTCCCTCAAAAGGCAAAAAATGGTAAAAAGAGGGACCAGCAGTTAGTGTAATGGCTATGTTGCTGGACTCACACGTAGTCGACCGCGGTTTGCGTCCTGGACCCGGTGACTTAAACTCACGCCAGGCGCGTGTGCGTGCGTGCCCGAGATCCCGAGAGGAGAACGGAAGAGAAGGGATTGTGGTGTGGCCATCCCCCTTGGGGGGTAATTTCTCGCTTTCTATCTCTCTGTCTTTCTCTGTCTTTCTGGCAAGCGCACGCACCTTATAGCAAAAACCTCTCAAAAAACAAAAAGGTAAAAAGAATATCAAGGCTAATTATATAATAAGAAATTTCAAAATGCAAATGATATAGGGCACACTAAAAAGTGAATTAAACGTATCACAATCAAGCAAGGCTTACTTTAGGAATGTAAGGATGATTCAACATAAGAAAACTTATATTAACTGATAATATTTATGGGGTCAAGAAGGAAAACATTATATAATATTTTAATACTTTAAAAAGTGTTTTTGGTAAAGTTAGATCTCTATGTGTGGCTAAAATTCTCAGAAGCCTAAGAATAGAAGGGATCATCCTTAACTTGGTAAAATCTATTTACAAAAAAACCATATGAAACATTTTACTTAACAGAGAAATTTAAGAGGCAAGCCCTTATATCTCAGGGAAGTCAAGGATACTCACTATCACCACTACTATCCAACATGGTGCTGGAGGTCCTACATAATACAGGGAAAAAAGAAAGAAAACAGGAAAAGGTGAGAGAGATTAGAGAATATTATCTAGAGATGATATAATTTTCAACAAAAATCTAGTATCAAGAGAAAGCTATTAGAAATGACAAGATAATTCAGCAATATTGCTAGAAGAAAAACTTGCAAAAATCAGTAGCCTTCTACTCTAGTAATAATCAAATTAAAAAAAGAGAAAAAGAAAAAGAATAAAAAGAAGGAAAGAGTTTAAGACCCATTCACAATTACAAGTGAAACACATAGTATCTAGGAAGTAATACCTTTATAGAGAAATTTTGAAAATCCTCTTAAAGAACACTTAAAAATATGTAAATAAATTAAGAGATAAATCATGAAGAGATAATATGATTTAATATCTAAAAATTCAATTCTCCCCATATTAATAAAATGCAGTACAAAGAA